GGCAAGCTAATCACCCCAAGTTTGATTAAATTTATGGTGCCCGATGAGCCTTGGAGCTCAATGACTGAGCATTTGCCGCGCAAAAGCCTTCCATGTTGTATGGGATCGACTCCCACCGAGGCCGTGAATATTTCGAGATTGGGTCAATCAAATTATTGAAATCTGCCAAACCCCTGATATTCTGTCATTAATATATAGTTAGATTGATATGATGCAGTGCGATGGGATCGTGATGTTGATGAGAACGTTCAGTAATAGGGGGGAGATAAGGTGGGCGACAGGAGGAGCTAATCGCGGGAAACAGGGTCAGTGGGGTTGCACCGAATAGGCGACAGTACGATTCCCGAGAACATCGCCAAAATGCTGGAGATGCGACCAAGCAGACTGTAGAGTCCATCAACAAGCTGGCGAAAAAATAAAAACCCTTGACCATCATCAACAGAGACCTCAAAGACCACCGTCATGGTTGCAAAACGGAGAAGAGTTGGCGACATTGGGAAATGAAGCTAAACTTTGCTGGGGATAATGTAAACATATTTAGCAACCAATTTACTATCTTGGAAAGAGCCTCAAAAGTTGAGCCTAATAGTTGCGTGTTTGGGAAGAAAACAGGCCCTAAGGACGATATTTCCTACAGATTTAAATGCTTACACAATTTGCTTTTGAAAATTGGTAATGTAGACGAAAAACCTAATTTCGAGTGGAGGATTGTTCCAAACGAAAGCACATTTGGAGGAAAAAACAAGAACAGTTAGATATAGGGCTAAGGAGTAGTGAATTTACTACGGAGGACTTACGAGTGCCGTAGAGTCAGGTTACCGGAGTGCGAGCGTTAATTTGTGAGAGATTAGGGCTATTGTTTACGTGACACAGGACGCATATACCGGCTTCGAGTCTTCGTACCCACAAAAATTTAATGTTCACTAATTGCTATCCATCCCTATAAGGAGTACTGGATCCAGAATAAGGAAATATTTTACGAGTGAAAACTCTCCGAATCCTTCAATCCTACTGCCGTCAGACGCGTACATCAGACCAAAAACAAAAAAGTTGTATTCTAGGATGAAAAAAAGAAACATAGAGAAAATACATAGTTTTCTTTCCGGAAGGAAGAAGTTATATGATATGCTGATTATGGAAGCGCAGACAGGAAGATATAGAGTTCTCGAATCTGCCACCACCTACAAAAGGGAAAAATTAAAGATAAAAAGAGAATTGTCAACAGACACAAACGCTTTGGTGTTCAACCGTGAAGATCAGTCCAGAGCGAGATCGATTTGATACCATGGCTGCGTTCAGGTGTCAAATGCACACTTAAAACTTTGTTAAAATCTCCTGCCTTAGCAGGATAACGTAAGGCCAAGGGAAAACCACAACGCTTGATGTCAGATATCATGTGTTTGATGTAAATGTAAATATCTATGTGAACGTTGAGTAATACTATCAATTATAGTGACCGAATTTGATCTGAATTTGGTCGTAAAAATCGTTGCTTATCCAGAACTGTAGCCCAACCGTATCTTGTGCATCTTGCCATTAGTCTCAATTTTTTACTTTACATGCATAGTGCTGTCCGGCAGCATAATATTGATTTCTTAATCCAAAATTTTGAAGGCTCAGTGACGATGTGTCTTTCATAACAGTCCACCGGAGCCACAGATTCATGCATCAGAAACTCGACTGCCACCTGATATTCTGAGGGAATTGCTAAAAATTTGTACGAATAATGTAAAACTTCTCTTCAATAGAGTTATATATCGGCAAATTGATAGAGTGGCAATGGGGAGCCCACTCGGGCCTACCTTTGCGGACATCTTCATGGGTCACTTAGAGGAAAAGGTTTCATCGGAACTTAATAAAACAACAATATAGACGATATGTGGATGAAATATTCGCTATTTTTGCTGAAAATCTTCTTACTTTTATGAATGAATTGCATCAAAAGATTAAGTTCACGATAGAAATGGAGCAGAAGAACCAATTATCCTTCCTTGACGTCCTCCTGCTCAGAGAGGATGATGGGTCAATAAGGCGCACTGTTTTCGACAAGACTACATGGAAAGGCCAATTACTTAGGTTAAGCATCACCTATGTAATTTTATCCGTTACTTACGATTCTGCGGGCTCTAACTCACAAATGAAGAAACAGAGTGCACTTTCTGTGGACAGTACACATGTAAGAACTTTCAGCGGCTGTCCTATATTCTCGGATCCTTACCTCAAAAATGCATCGTTGGCGGACAACTATGACAGGCCTTAAGTTCTAAATTCAGATCTAAATGGTGAAAGACGTTGAACCTAATGACAAAGAGACTTCCATTTGAAACTTAAAAATCCCTGTTCTTGTGTCAGCTGATCATAAGCCAATATGTTCTTTAAATGCACTAAGCTCAGTGATTTTCTCAGGCATGTAAATAAGTTACCAATTGAAACATACATTGGCAAGTGTCTTTTACTGTGACACGTTTGATGGAGACGACCAAATTACAACATAAGAGTCCAAATATTAGAGACGGTAATCCAACTACAGAGGAAATTATTGAGCGAGTAATTATAGTGATTTTATTTATTAAAAGATTCGGGCATGGATGCATGGACCAGGCAGAAAATTACTCGATTCTCAAGTTGCTCGACCTAGTAACTTTGAAGAAGCACTTGAAATAAGAAAGTCGCACGAACAATTTGAATTTAAATGCATGGTTATATACATTAACATAATCTTATGTCATATTTTGCTATATCAGAAAGCACTCGCGGATTACGCAGCTCTTGGAGCACTGAGAAAGGAGGATCCCACAAACGAAGCGTTGACGCAAATCGACTATGAAATTCAAACCTACGTAGATAAACTGAATGCAAGGACATTCTTAGTAGTCTCTTGCTTCACTTACTTCCGTGTTTTGGACGAGGTATTTTTCGCAATATTGAACATTTTCTTTTTCGTAGTTGTGGAAACTGCTTGATGAAATAGAAACACGTTCTAAGGATTTGAATCTCTCCGACTTACAATCGGTTAATGACACAATAGAAAGTCTTGAACAGGGCATGGTGAATTCTAATAATAAAGTAGCATCTCTTGGTCGCGAACTTGAGAGATTGCGGGTCGTTCTTCAAAAAGCGGATCCGGATTATCTTGATCAATTGGAATCAGGGTACAGGGACGCATGCTTACATACTGCTAATGCCCAACAAATAATGCAGCTGCGAAAACTTGTTTTGAAGAAGGAGCTAAAGGCGAGTTGTAAGCTAAACTGTATTCCGTTTAATTCAAAGCATTATTTCATGCTCACTTCTTCAGGACCGTTGCTTGAAAATTATCTGATTCCCATTTCAAAACTTTACAATATTTGAATTTGATCGAGACAAATTTTTCCGAAAAAAAGCGTTCCATACCTAAGAGTGTTAGAATTTTTGGAATAAATTCGTCTTATGTGTTACAGATACTTCAATGTGAACAAGAAATATCAGCAAAAGTGGACATGATCTCCTCAGTGTCTGAAGAAGTTGAAGAATTATTTGAATCGAAGTGCGTGGGCAAAACGGCAATCGAAGCATCCAACATCATTTTGGACTGTCGTGAACTCCATACGAAAGCCAGTGTAATAATATTTACACCAAAACGTTCATATTTTTCTTTACTCGTTTTGCAAAAATGAAAGCTTATCAGAATTGGCTAGAACTTATCCCATTGAAACCGCTTAGCGTACACTTTTGTTTTTATAGCATGCGTACGAAGAATGCAGAAAATTATTTGATACATATCGGTTAATGTGCGAGGCTGATCTTCGACAAATGCGAAAACCCACTCTCTCCTTGAAGAATCGCCTCGCTAAACAGTACCCCCAACTACGGAAACGCATTGAGGAAGTTATAGCAACTACTAGCAACGCTGAACACTGCTATACGGAGTCTGACAAGGTAAGTATTATATAGCAAATGCATTCTTCCTGATGTCCCTTAATTCACATTTTATTAGTTTCTCTTAATCGACTGCAGTTCAGGCCTCCCTACGCGTGTACATACCTCGAAAACGCAGTTAAATAACCGAACGTGCGAAATGATTTTCGTCGTTATATTATAATAGCTCTTTGTTTAGTCCTTCAATGCTTTCATATAAATTGGTTTGTTTATTTTCGGTTTTGATCACTGCTTTTATTTGCAACTATTAATGCCAAATATTGCGATTTCTGTGCAAGTGAGATATCATCATTCGTATGATATTTAAAATAAACTACAGTCCTTAGAGAAGATAGGCAAAATAACTGGGATGCAATGGGGGTAATGATCACAGAGCGGTCTCTTACTAGTACAGTTATCAATTTTGAAGCACGTTTGAAGTCTTCGTTGTTTTTTGCATCCATAATCAACTTCTGACGAGGAATTAACGTTGTAAATGTCGTTAATAAACTTTTTTCAAATTTCTCGAATAACATATCTGATTTAAAATTCTATTTATGGAGATACCTCCATTGCATATCGTATAGTATTTACAATCAGCAGTGTAAGGGCTTCAAAACAACTGGCGTTTAAAATCGATGGCAGAGCAAATGTTTTGCCTAACATCACTGCTTAAGTGTCTTTTTTGCAAAATACATTAAAGACTAGGTTCTAGGAGTTACCACATCGATGTGATTGAAATAGTGCTATAAAAATGACAAAAACTATCAAAAAAATTTCATCGTACCTAAACCCTATATTATCTAATCATACAATTAAGCGATGATCCTTTATTTTCCCCAATTTGAAATAGCCAAATGGCTTTCTTCTATTGAGATAGTAGTGCTAGGCAATAAAACTAACATGCAAACTAAAAAAACTGCCAATTCAAGGAAATCTTCAAATAATTTATGATTTATAAGATTTGCTTCATTTTTTATATTTATCTTTTATTTTGCCTTAGCTGCTTAGAATTGTGGGAGAAGAGCTTCTCAAAATTGCAGCCAGTGAGACTCCGGTTTTGCCAGAACAGAAGAGCCAACATCTTCTCGAACTGGCCGAACAATTCGAACAGCTCAAATCCCGAGCATCGTCCCTCTTGAACAGCCTGAAAGCTGAAACTCGACAAAAGTAATTGTCAGGAAACATAAAATGGATTAAATATCTGTTATTGCTTGGTAACCTGCAGAGTAAGCTTATCATGTTTTAACATGACAGTTTCTGGCGGGCTGACTATCGACTGCCTTGAGACATAGAAGAGAGTTTAGCTACCACAGCATCTACGTCTCATAGAAGTTGAATGTGACATCACTGGAGTCATCTAAGCGTCCCACGGAGATCTTCCGGATTTGCGAAAATCGTATTATTAAATTTTCCTCATGGCTTGTGCCATTTATTTTTATGCCTGCGAAGATCGCACTTACACAGATAAACGAGTAGTTTCAGCGTCAGCCTTATTTCTCGTAAGAATCCTTTAGTTAAGAAAACATTACCCTTGCTAAAAAACACTTTTGTTTCCGAAGATATGCTTCCGTTTTCTTGCCAAGCATTTAGACTGAAGTACTATGTATGCATCTTCGAACCTGAGGTCTTATTCGCAGATATAGCGGTATTAGTAGCACTCAGTAGGTTCTTAAATTTCGAAAAAGATATGTATATTATCATGCGTTCGTCATCCCCTAAGGAGGCGGAAGAGAACAGAAAGCCAGCCCACGGACTGCCTGGAATTTGTACCGATGCCTCAGAAAATTCCACGTTTATTTCATCAGAACAGTGGGGTGGCTATCCATAACTGCCCATAACATATCTTGTATTGCAGCAGTACCAGATGGGCAAACATTGAATTGCCTGTTTATTGCCGATTAAATTTACTCTCTCTCTCTGTGGTCGACCGCTGTCAGGTTCATGTTTCCTTCACCTCCTTTCGTGGTCGTCTTAGCTGCAACAGCGTGAGAACGTATCGAGAGGAGGGTTAACAGGCTCTCAATCCAGGAATAGGAACCGACTGATTTCCTTTACCGCAGTCATACAGTAATTTATTTTGCGT